TACCTTTTGTAAGTTATTTGTATGGTGTTGTTGTTTGGGTGTTTTTTGGCTTTCTTAAAAAGGTTATCTCTATTTCTAACACATCGAAGTAAGCCTGATGTCATCCAAGGTTTGATAATCCTAATTCGGTTGGCGTATATACAAATATCAGTGTTTTTGTTATGTAGTTTAGTGATTATCTCAATTAACCGATTTACGGCGACGTCAGGATCATCAATATCATAAATAAAACTGAAATCTGTGTTTATCATATCCTTATTGAGGTTAGAGTGATTTAATTTAGAGTAGCTGTTAGTTTTTGGTTGAGAAGTGGGATCAAAATTAAGACAAAGTAAAACAGAGCTGTGGTCGGTAATATCAGACTGGATGATCAACGTTAGAGCGGGCTTTTTAGTTGTTAATAATACGTGATCGATACAAGTTTTGCTAACAGGTCTAGTAATCAAATAATGTGCTGGCATAAGACCATAAAATGCCGTCAAATTAAGATATTTTTCTGTATGTGTATCCATATTACTCGTTGAGATGTCGAAATTTATGTCTCCCATGATAACGACATTTTTAAACAATACCACCGATTCTAAGACTTGTTCCAAAGAGATGATAAATGAATCTGGGCTATTATTTCTTGAAGGGGAACGATATATGGCAATGATTGCGAGATCTACTCCTTTTTTTAATTACTAAACAGCTTGCGCCCGTAAAATAAGGTTCCTCAACCGTGACACCGAGACTATTTCTTACATAAACTGCGACACCATCATTTTGGTTAAAACATTTTTTGTTAGTATATCCAATATAATTGTCTAAAGTGGGGATATTTGGGTTACATAATAGCCAGCATTCGGTAAGTATAATTATGTCGCAAACAATTTTGGTTCTTTCCAAAAGCAAAGCAAAATTATCAAAATTACAACCTATACTTTGTATATTTTGAGTTATAATTTTAAGGTAATTTTCAGTTTGAGGCACATGTGATTGCTTACTAATCCGTTGGGCTATGTCGGTCGCTCTGGTTTTACTGCGGATATTCTCAATTCTGAGTCTTTCATGCAGAGAAACGCCGAGCATAGCCCTCTCCATAGCTCGCTGAGCGACCTTGAGCGTCCTCATACGGCCAGCAGTGAAGGACCACGTCTCAGATCCGTAAGTCATCACTGGTAACACGCACTGGTTATACACTTTAGTTTTCAGAGATTGAGGTATACCTGACGAGAAGATGTGTCGTAATTTCCCGAACACTGCTCAGCCGAGTTGAATCCGTCGATTGACCTCTCGGTCGAAGTTGGACTTACCTAGTCGGACTATTTGTTCCAGGTAAACGTACTCGTCAACAACTTCGAGCATAGTGCTCCCAACAACTATCGGCATAGGTGTGACATGGACATTAAACATGATCTTTGTTTTGTCCATGTTCATCTTAAGACCTATCCGTTAGGAGACACCATTGAGGTGATTGAGCATAGCGCTAAGGTCCTCCAGCGATTCTGTCATAAGGACTATATCGTCGGCAAATCGAAGGTGAGTGATGTACTCGCCATTGATGTTAATACCGTATCCTTTCCAGTCCAGTAGCTTGAAAACGTATTCCAATGCAGCGGTGAAGAGTTTCGGGGATATAACGTCTCCCTGTCTTACACCTCTCTGCATTTGGATAGGTTTCGAACTCTGGTTCTGTACTCGGATAGCCATCGTAGCCCTACTGTACAAACACTTCAGCACTTCGATATACCGACAGTCAACTTGGCACCGCTGAAGGGACTGTAGCACCGCCCAAATTTCGACGGAATCAAAGGCTTTCTCATAGTCCACATATGCCAGGTAAAGGTGGTTCTTAGATAAGTGTAAACTCGCCAGGGGGTGCTGCAATACACATATTCGTGCAAACTAATGTTCCCTTTTATTACCCAACTGCCATGTTTTCCGCGCGATCTTGTATGTTTGTAAATTTCTTTATTACCTCGTATCTTTCAAACGGCTGAATGGACTTCGACAATTAAGGTATCATTTTATTCGTCTTAATAACTCAAGTTTTCTTAGATAGTTATTTTAAATAAACAAAATGGCGGGATTTGGCGCAAAATAATTATGTGTTAATAAAAAAATTGACTAAACTTATCGAATGGGATATCAAAATAAAATAAATTAAAAGGGATTACATATTTATATATATGTAATATATATATATATATATATATATATAAGTGGTATGTTTAAAATTAAGTATGTTTTTAAATTTCTTTATTACCACGTATCTTCCAAACGCCTGAATAGCTTTTTCTTTACATAAGAAAACGGATTTTTGGCGCAAAGTACTTTAATTTAGAAAAAACAACAAAACCTATCGAATATAGTTTTATGGTTAAATTTAATTAGGAATAGTAAATTGGTTTATAAAGTTTTCGATAACTGGTTTACAAAATGTGCAAAGTTTGTGTCGGACCTCGTGCTATTATATGAAAAAAAAGAATAGTTATTAATATCCGTCGCCCAATCACATTAAAAACTAAACTAAAAAAATTTATACAACATTAAATGAAAGTCCGGGAAGTCTGCTGTCTTGCTGTTGTGAACATATTCAATATCGTCTCCGCCATTACATCAGATTTGATAGACCACAAATCCTCGTAAAAGACACCGATTCCTACCAACGATGATTTGCGAGGTTATTTAAGTTAAAAAACATCCTAATTTCAAAGAGAAAAGATAGATGCTACAAGATCCTTATAATTAACAAAATGAAAATCCAAACCCAAGCATACCACTGCAAGACTTTTACTGTACACTCGTTCTGCGTAGATCAGACCAAAAATTATATTCAAAAACTGAAGGTTTTATTTATTTTTAAATAAAAAATGTTTTTAAAATTTACCCTGCTGCTATTGTAACGCCACCCCAATTTAACAACGCATTTTAAATTATTGATCGAAGAGTTCGACGGACACTTTTTCATATAAATAAATAGTGCCTCTCAACTCTACCCTCCATACTCGGAACGTCGGGAATTAAAAAATTAAAATTGAACGCTATAAAATCCAATATTAGTTTCATTTAAATCTTTTATATTCTTCTAAACTGGAAGTTTCTTTGTTGGTGCCTTATGCGTCCTATACCTACAATTCATCTGAATACGACAATACTACGTAGTACTATTATTTATTCTGTGACAATACTTGTTGCGTACGTGATGGTTTTCAAAAAGCATGGAGACAACAATGTAATTTTAATAAGATTTGTATGATATTGTAATAAAATTAGTAAATATCAAAGAAGGTTTAATTATTTTTTATTATTATTAATTTATATTACATAATTTGAATGATCCCTTTTATTTAAGTAATGCTTAATTTTCTTTCGGTTTATAATTTGTAATTGAGTCCCGCCTTCTACTAAACTTAATATTTCACTTAGGCTTTCAGCCCATAATATATTCTGTTAAACTGAAGTAGAGTTTAGTTTGTTTAATTTTTTTTGTTCATTTTGTTTTGTTTACTCTTTCTAGTTCCGGTCTTTTTAGTGTATTACTTTTAAATTGTCTTTTTTGCAGTCGGGTTTTTGATTATTTTAATTATTCATTTTATTTGAGACTTTTTAGTGTCCCAATCTGAAAATGAACAAAAAAAAATTAAACAAACTAAACTCTACTTCAGTTTAACAGACTATATTATGGGCTGAAAGCCTAAGTGAAATATTAAGTTTAATAGAAGGCGGGACTCAATTACAAATTATAAACCGAAAGAAAATTAAAAATCAGATGAATTGTAAGTATAGGACGCATAAGGCACCAACAAAGAAACTTTCAGTTTAAAAGAATATAAAAGATTAAATGAAACTAATATTGGATTTTATAGCGTTCAATTTTAATTTTTTAATTCCCTTTCGAGTATGGAGGGTAGAGTTAAGAAGGACTATTTCTGTGTATGAAAAAGTGTCCGTCGAATTCTTCGATCAATAATTTAAAATGCGTTGTTAAATTAGGGTGGCGTTACAATAGCAGCAGGGTAAATTTTAAAAACATTTTTTATTTAAAAAATAAATAAAACCTTCAGTTTTTGAATATAATTTTTGGTCTGATCTACGCAGAACGAGTGTACAGTAAAAGTCTTGCAGTGGTATGCTTGGGTTTGGATTTTCATTTTGTTAATTATAAGGATCTTGTAGCATCTATCTTTTCTTTTGAAATTAGGATGTTTTTTAACTTAAATAGCCTCGCAAATCATCGTTGGTAGGAATCGGTGTCTTTTACGAGGATTTGTGGTCTATCAAATGTGATGTAATGGCGGGGGCGATCTTGAATATGTTCACAGACTGCAGACTTCCCGGACTTTCGTTTAATGTTGTGTAATGTACGTGAGGGTAATGTGGTCACCTTTAGCTAATAAGCCACACTATAAAACCAAAACTAGGAGGAGCACAGATACAAAAACACAAAGTAGTATACTATAACTAATATATTAAGAAAAAAAAACAAACAAGCTTGGGCAATAATTGGGAACACTTCGATAAATCAACTTAAAAAATCTTAACTACACTACACAATAATCGACTAACATATTTATGTACTATAATGTCAACTGTCAAAATGGCCCTTTTGTCTTTTTATTATTTGATTGCCTGCTGAAGAGCTATCGTATCACAGAGCCATCCATGCACACAAAGCTGTAGTTTTTCAGTTATAAGAAATTGTCCTTATTAACCGGATGACTAGGCGAATTCCTCTTCTTCTACCTACCGGTTGCTCATCCCGCCCAACACGGGAGAAGCCAGGGTCCGCTTTCCAACACTTCCTCCTACACTTTGCCCGGTCTTCGGCGTCCCTCGCAACTAGCTCATTGTCGCGCATGTCATCCTGCACATCAAGCCAGCGTTTCTTGGGCCGTCCTCTACTCCTGATATCAGGTAGGGTCATGTCCAGGCATTTGTTTTCCACGTAGCTTGCCGGTCGTCGTAAGACGTGGCCGTACCAGCGGAGGCGACTTTCCTGCAGCTTGTCAGCAATTTCACAGACATGGAGAGCCGCGGACATGGGCAGATGACATGACATACAGGACAGGCCTTATGATGGTCTTATAGACCTGTCCCTTCAGCTTGACCGGCATTTTGGGGTCACAAATGACACCCGTCACCTCGCGCCATTTCGCCCAGGCCGCTGATATACGGGCCTTGATGTCGCGATCGCTGTCCCCGGACGCATCACGCACAGATCCGAGGTACCTGAAGTTGTCCGTGCGCTCGACGGTGTCGTCGCCTATACGGAGAGACGTCAGATCTGTGCTGTTGCAGGCCATATACTACGTCTTTCCCACGTTTAGCTTCAGCCCGCCGTTCTCAAGCGCCTCCCGATCCATGCGTGCACGCGTCTGGTGAGCCGTCCTTTGCATATCTACCAGTGCGATATCATCAGCGTACATAAGCAGCCAAGGCTGCGGTAGTTTCTGTACGCTGGCTGACAGTTCGTCTAATATCACACTGAAGACATAGGGGCTTAAGACGGAGCCCTGATGCACGCCTACGGTTATGGGGAAGGGGGTGGTATCACCAACAGCGGTCCTGACTATTGAATCGGAGTTGCGGTACATGTCACGTACGATTTCCACGTAGGTCTCTGGCACCAACTTCGACCGCAACGCCCACCAGATCATCTCCCTAGGAACACAGTCAAAGGCCCTCTGCAGGTCTAGGAATAAAAATGCAGAGGCATATTCTTTTCCCTGTGCTTGTCCATGAGGATCCTTAGGGCGAATATAGGGTCCATGGTACCGCGTCCTGGTTGGAAGCCGTACTGGGAGTCCGATACTGTACACTCCTGTCGGATGACTAGGCGAATTACGTGAGGGTAATAACTAATAACCCTCACGTACATAGTATATAGTATACCTAGTACATATAGTATTCGCCTAAATATAAGATATTGTTATTACTAAAAATTTAATGAATTAATAATTTAATTTCTAGCTTGTAATATTAAAGTTTATTTTAAATGAATACAAACTTTATGAATTCATTCGCTCATTCGATATCGCGCAATAGTCTACGGCATATACGAGTACATATAGCGGGATACGGGGCCAACAAAGAAACTTTCTTTTTTTTTTAATAAAAGTTTTAATTAAACTAAAAATATAATTTCTTACCTTTTACATTTTCAAATATATTTAAGTTTATTTTAAATATAAACAAACTTCATGAATCCATCGGCCATTAGATCATTCGTTATCGCGCTATGGCCCTTTTACTATCAGATAAGAAGATAAAGCTCGGCGAATGATAAGAGTTGGTGCAACATTCCTAAATAACTTTACTACTTTCTTTTAAATCTGTAAAATTTGATGCAAGTGGCTTACGTTAACACTAACTTGTTATAAATTAAAATAAATAATTTTTATATAATGCACAATAGGTAAATATTGAATATTTAGTGGAAAGTGTGTTTTGTGGACTGTGTACAAATGCATAAAACATGGCTTTCATATTACCACGACTGACAAGATGTTGTTGTTGTCTTAGTTTAAGAACTGGATCACTTATAATTGGATATGTTTCGCTTGTGAGTATCTATTGCATTATTTTGCATTTTTGCTTTATAAATAAATTTAAATTCAGATTTTTTAAATAGGCGCCTACAAAAATTTAACAGCAATATTTTGGGAAATTAATAATTATAAAGTACTTTTGACAGGGGCTATTTTATAAATAAAGTATTTATTAGAGATATTATTTTTATATTCTAATCCAATTCAAACCCATTATCTTTAAGCACCATAGAAAATTAAATATTAATATCCATGATAATTGACTAAAAGCTGTAAATAAAGCAATATTTATTATCCACAGACTAACTATTTACACGCAGTAGCACCAAAACTTTTAAAAAATGGTACATATAGAGTTTCTTGAGAAAAATTTGTTTTAAATGTTATAGATTGACATAAATTTTAATCGTAAAAATGTCATTATTTTCGGTCAGGTCGGTAGGTATGCAGGCGGTGAAAAAATATCATGAGCAAGCAGAAACGGTACGTGTGTGTACTATTATGTTTGCGGTCTCAAGTATACAGAGAGTCAGAATAATTACAGGCTTGTTTGAAAATGTTTGGAGATTTACAGTGGCCACTTAACATCAGGTGGATTATAAGTTCATTAGAGACTTCAATTTTTGTACTAATATTGTCTTTCAGACCTAATTTCGGCGGCCTGCCTCAACGGAGACTAGTCATCGGTGCAAGACAGGATTATAGTGCCCAAGTGTACGCGCAGAAACAGGTGCACTCTCTATTCCCTCACTCTCATAATCCGATGGGACGATAAACCGACGCGATTGGAAATAGATCAGGCGCAGGACCAACGGCTTTACGCGCTTTCCGAGTCACGGGGGTTGAGACACCGCCAACTTCCTGACTCCGGGCAGCTACTGTGAATTTCTTGACAGAAAGACTCAATAATTAATTTTTGGCCCGACCCGGGATTCGAACCTAGGACCTCATGTTCAGCAGTCACACTACTACAATCACTAAACCAACGAGGCAGTCATTTTATATTCTATTGTATTGTCTATTGTTTTGCCTACAGATGACCACATCGCTGTTCATGGCCACATTCTCTTGGTCACTCTACACAGTCGTAAAATTTGTGAAAATAAACGCCAATAAACTTCATCCGGAGCACAAGCCCGAGGAAGTGGCGCAGGTGGCATTGGGCCTGTACATCACGCACGCTTACGCACTGTTGGTGCTGTTGTATCATTTCATGATCAGTCTGCTTCTAGTGATTGGAGTGCACATGGTAAGATAATGACAAGACACCTTGAAAGATTTAGTTACGAAAAAAATACACTACCAAAAAAAGTTATACTATACAATATGAGTGTCTTCAAAGTAAAAAGTGAACAGGATTTTGTCGTGCTAAGACAGTTTGATTTACCTACTAGGGCTTCATTAACTCTTACCACCAGGAGGCAGTATAGTCAAGTACTAAAGTAGAATAGAAGATAAAATAATTTTATTCAACCTAGATTTCAATATCTAATAATATTTTATTATAGTATCTTATACATATACACATATATATATATATATATAAATTACGTGTGACGTTGTTTGTCCGCGATGGACTCTTAAACGACTTAACCGATTTTAATCAAATTTGCACACCGTCTGCATTTTGGTCCACCTAGAGAGATAGGATAGTTTTTTTTGCCCATGAGTGACACACAATTTTTTTTGCTAATTTAAGGATTTTTAATAGGACACGACAAAGGGTCGTCGAAAAGAGTACAACAACGTCTGCCTGGCAATCTAGTACATATATAAAACACAACAGCTATACGTTACTTTCGCAAAAACTGGAAAGCAGCTCGAACGATTTTTATGAAATTTTTGGTGTGCGTTCGAGTGGGTCCCTGGATGGTTTCGATTCACAATTAGACCCGGCAGGTTGCACTGTGGTCAAAATCCAAAAATCACACGTGCGAAGGTGGGGCAGATCGCTAATCTTACAAAATAAGACATATTATTCGCTGTTTTGCTGACATCAAAATTACAGTCACTTTGTAGTACATTGCGTCGTTTGCTTTATGAGCCGTGATCATTTTATAGAAAAGTTGCATAGCATACGACGCAGTGTAATACAAAGTGATTATTATTTTGATGTCAACGAAGTCATCGAATAGGGTTGCTAATCATTTTACGGTTTCAAATCTATATACGAGTATATTACTAAAATTGTTTGAAATTTCAAAGATATGTTAAGGATGTTAAGTCCGTTAATATGCATTGGGAGTGGCTTTCAATTCTTTCCCCTAGAATCCTTTCAGAAATAAAAGGAAATCTGTGCCCAGCAATAGGGAGTAAATAAGCTGTAAATTTATTATAAAGTACTACTCTTTTAAATAACAGAAATTAAATTTGCCATATGGTGGTGTCGCAAAAGTCGCCTACGGGAAAATCCAGAAAGACTTTCTTGCCTTCGATATATGGGCCGGATACTCTGTGTTAGAAAATAAAAGTAATATAGGAAATGTCTTCGTCTCCTCTCACATCAAGCCTCTCTAAGCTGCCACAAATGTAAGTAGCGGGTGTCAGACATACATCGTCTTTTTTCTGTATTTTAAGTACAAAGTATGAAAGCAAGTTTGATTCCCGCTTGCGCTACTGACAGAGAAATGAAAAGACAGTACTACTGCTACTACTGTAGTATTCCCTGCGATATTGTAAGTGCTCATGGGCGACGGTAGTCACCATTAGGTGAGCCGTACTGTTTGACTCCCCTTAAGAGGTGAGAGTAAGTCAGCTCAAATTCTAATTTCGCCCCCACTTCCCCGCGCGTCGTTTGCTATGTACCGACATGTTTGTAATCACTAATACTGTAAGTAGATAGGTCGTTAGATACTTATTTCATTATGTTTATCATATATATGCCTGTTTCTTAACGCCAACCCAGTCGCTTCTTATTTTTATAACGGTTATTTCCCATTTTAATTTTACGTCTTCCTGTTGCGTAATGTGTTTTCTGATCGTAAGCGACACAACTTCTCCCTTCAAAAGCCGGAGCAATACTAATGGAGCGACAGGAACCAAGCTTACGCGCCGATAGTTTAGGTAATTTCTTTTTACAGTGAAAATAATGATATTTTAAAAAAAGTAAATAACATAAGCACTGCTTTATGGTTAGTTCAGTTAGTATGCAAAGTTTCAGGATCTTATTTAAAGTATTTTATGAATAACAGCGGTTTATTGTTCAGTTTGGAGGTAACTTTGGATTTTTTTTCTATCGAGAAAATTTTACGGAATCGTGTTTTCGTCTAACATAAACCTTAACATTAATCCTCAACTTTACCATATATTTATTTCAAAATTAATGCTGCAATACTTTCGGCATAACGGAGGATCTTGCTAAGCCATTTGAGGTTATATTTCCCCTTAATTTAAAAAAATACCCAAGCTAATAGTAGAGATTCAACCTTCATTTATGATCACTGCAGCTCTTTACACGTGCACTGCACCTTAAGATTTGCCGCCCTAAAACACCATAACTCCAAGAAGAACAAGTACAAAAACATAAATTTGTATACTATCATTTTACTGGGTGATTTTTTTTTACCGTCTGGAAAAAATAGGGTGTAACAGGTAAACTTGAATAGAAGCCTATGGCACTGATATTTTACAACAATAAATACTACTAATTTGAAATAAACTTTCAGCACTAAAAAGATAACAACAAAGTTTTTGAACTAAATAAATAAATCGATTAAAAACTATCAACATTAAAATAATAGTTACGTACCTAAAGT